AATATAAGAATAAGGATAAAGCATTTGCCGTTGATCAATCCCTTTTTGGGATGCGGCACGCATTCTACTTCCATTTGTACATTCGTAGTGGCGTTTGAATGCGATGTGGCCTATACAATGACTTGCGGGGCCAGCCGATGTACAAGTCAGTGTTTTTATCCTCCCAGACAAGTCTGGTACCAATTAACCGACCCCGGAGGGATGGAAGGCTTGGTTGGCCCGGGCGACTCACGACCCAGGATTTGATCCCCGGACCGCTCGCGTGGTAAGCGTGCCACTTGCCACTACACCACTTCCGCCGGAACAATAATAGTAGTCCAATTTGAAATAAAATAAATAATGTTTCATACTCTTCTTCGTTATGTTCATGAATCGCAATCTGCGCTTTTGAGCCTTCAGAAAGACAAGCGCAAGAGAGGAAGAAAGCCGTGACCGGGACCTTCACCTTTTGATGAATGGGTTTTCTTCTTGATCTGCTATCCGAGGAAGACTCCGAAGACTTTGGGCAATTTTTAAAAGAAGTAGGCAATAGTGATTATCCACGGAAGGTTTTCAGATAGTCGGCGTTTGAGGGGTTATTATTCTAAGACACTTTTTATTCGAAATATTCGGCCTTTTCTATAAGCTTTGAATATTCATGAGGGGTCCAGAGAATGCTTTTTGCCTGGCTTAGTTGATGGAAATGCACAAGTCGGTTAACAGCGCTATAATTCCTCCTTTGCTCCCTCTGGACTGCTTTCCGTAGGCAAGTTCAGGATTTACTCATTTTTCAACTTCGAGAACTTCTCGCATTTGCATTTAGCCTTTAGGCAGAAATTTCCGCCTTTCTCATGTAGCACCCGTCTCTGACTTGCATTTCCAATCAAGCCCCTGTACATGTGCATTGATTTATCGTAGTCTTCAAGAGCTGTTTTAATTTTCTGAAAAATTATTTTATTTAACAAAATAAATTTTCGGTGATATGTGCGACGGAAAATCGTTCATTTGAAGTAGTCGGCGCGAAGGTATAGTGTTTGAACGAGCAAGACGGTTTTCACCAGGTCGGTGTGGAGCCTGACCTGGCTTACAATCGCACGCAGATTGACTGCTGTTTTAACGCTAAACATTCTTTTCCGAAGTTTCACAAGAATGCTGGGTTGTGAACAAAACTTTCGCCCCAGGCGGGACTAGAACCCGCACCTCTCGCTTTCCGGGCAAGTGCGCTACCAGTTACGCTACCGGGGCACCATTTCATTCCAACTCAGCTTTTCATGGTATACGTACCATAGCTTGTCAGCACTCACAATCCCAGCTTCTTGTGATTACATTCGCGAGGCGAGTCGAGTATATGAATCCTTTTCGGGGATACGCCATGCATACTGCATCCTTTCGGAACTGTAATGGCATTTGAATGCGATTTGATCCAGGTATGACTAACAGGTAGCTCACCACATTAACAAGCTGGCAGCTGCTCGCGTTTCGGCTTTTTTCGGCCGCGTGAGACGAGCGCGATTTTGCGCGCGCGGTCACCTCACCTCACATCCGTGGATTTTGACTGAGATCTTTAGAAAGAATGAATGATCCATTTAAGCGTTATTAAATGCGTAGAAGTTAATCGCGGTTGGAGTGGCGGAATTCCGGATCAAGAGAACTTATGGACGTAATGTAAAAAAAATGCAAATCTAGCAAATCAAATCAAAAAATTCAAATCGCAATGCAAATCTAGCTCTGTGTAATGACCGAATTTGAAGGTTGGTTTGCACAAAACCCATGGGTGTGCCGCATGCTTAGTGTTAACTTCTTTCAACTATCACGACTTACATTAGTTTAGAATAAAATAAGAGAGAAAAAAGGAATGAACGATTTGAAACTTTGTGCTTGAGGTTGTATGGAGTAGTACGGATGAACATCTTCGTTTACTTTATGTTATAGTATAATTATTAGAATGAAGACAGATGGAAAAGTCATGCAAGCGCGGCGAAAAAGGAACGAAATAGGAGAGACGAATGCTGAAGACATGTCATGACGGGAAGTGGGACGCGCAACGCGTCACGCTTGGGTGTAAAAGTGGCAGCGTTACGATGATTTGGAAGGGGTGAAGGAGACGAAATGGCGCAATGGCACGCTAGTGGCGAAAAAAAATCTGAGGATCCGTTATAAAGTGACGCATACGGGACCCCTTTGGGCTTTCCTGCTCACTCACTGAAGGTAACAGCCTTCAGAAAATTTTGGTTGAACGAGTTCACCGCAGTGGTTTGTGGCAGGATGCTAAATTCATGGGTCCAATCGGGTATTGTGCTCTAGTTGTACCGCTGCAGCAACGAAGCTGTCCCAAATCACAAATGAATAGTGGCGGACGCTTGGTGGGAGGATGTTCGAAGTCTACAGAACCGAGCGACCACGCCGTCGTAAAAAGCGCAGATCTCGCTTCCTGGCAGCCAAGTAACTGCTTCGTCTGGTGCGTATGCTCCCCTGATGCGCTTCCTCCTTATCTTAATCGCTGCTTTGAAGACGTGGGTTACCGCGATCATGATTTTTCTGCATGTGTCCAACCAACCGAAGGCATTTGTGAAGCTAGGTGGGCTTGAGCCGCACTCGATCTGCGAATATCGGTTTACCAGTTTCTCCTGTTCGATTTTGTTCACTGTGTTTAAAGTGGATAAAAATATCCCGGTTAACTTGTCAATAATTATAGGAATATTGACGTATTTAAATTATAAAGTTTAACAATAATGTGAAGACATTGGGTGAATGTAGTTCGAGGAGGCCACTCATAATATCTAATCGAACTGACAATATCTAATCAAAGTGGAGCTGCTGAAGGGCGGTCATATCTAATCAACAACCAGACTCAGTCTCTGAGGGTATGATTAGATAGGGATACCAAGCAAAGATTCCATAGAAAATCGGATACCTGAAATGTCCTTTCTTCGAGGGCACATGGCAGTCGCAGGAAGGTTTGGTGAAAGTGAAGAGTCAGCAAGGTAGCAGCCATTTTAGCCATAGAATAATATGACAAGGGTAAACCTACTAGGCCGCGGTCTCAGTGAAAGATATGATAAGATATGAGAGCCTTCCCGCAGCTCTACTTTTGATTAGATATGAGTGTCTTTCCGCAACTCCACCTCGATTAGATAGGGTGCCCCCCCCCTGAACTACATTTTCACCGATCAAATTTTAAGAGTTCCGTGTTATTATATTTGTCGCGGCTCATAACAAAGATAGTCTAGTACGCCTCGCACGGGCCTTAGAGGTTAAGTCTTTGTAGAAAGGATGAAGTTACTCGATTCAACCAACACTTTTGACTTACAAAATCCTATAGGACACTCGGCTCATCCTTGTGCACTACTATGTGAGAAGCATTCAGAGCCTAGTTACAAAACGGAATTTTGAAGAAAGAACATTTCTCTGAAGTGTGCGATGTTCGAAGAACTAGAAATTCTTGCCGTTCCGAACAAATGTCAATTATTTATATGTGCCTGCTGGGATAGAATGCCTGGTTAATGATCCTTATGGATGTGAAAGAAGTGCAAGCGTGACGGGACATCCACACCCTCTATGCCACCACTCATTTTTTCATATGATTTGTTGCACTTACTGTCAGCATTTTTCTTCTTCAATCCTTCAAAGCTGTCCTATGTTTTATTATAATGGGCGCCGAACAATACTAAACATTCTCCTTGTTCGTGCTAGTAAGGTGAGTCCTTTGTGTACTTTAACAAGCTTCAAGTACAAAGCTTTCAAAAGACGTGAAAGATTAACAAGGTGGTACTTGAAGTTTAATTATACCTCAAGGTAGCCGAAAGATGACTAGATAAAGTGGAAGGCAGGAGAGCGAAGCCGCGATACGACATCTCGTCTAATTTCGTTTCCCGATTTTCGAAATCGCGGGATGTGGGGAGCGCTGGATTCTCAGCTTTTTCGAAAACAAAACTTGGACAGTGGTGGCTTCCATTGAGCAGTCCAATATCAGTGAGATTTCTAATAAGAAGGCACTAAACATCATTAGCGTGTAAAGTCCGTCAAGGAATCAAATGCGCCTAATTTTTCTCCAGGTAGTTATTCTGAAGCGTCGAAAGTGTTCGCTGTTGTTGTTAAAACCACCCTTTTTTCTATCAGAGGCTACCGGAGACCGTGCCGAGGATTTCAGTGGGTTCTCTGATGACGTTTCCCGCTGCGAGAATTTCGGTGAAGTTTTCTCGATGACGTTTTCCCCTCTTTCTTGGTATTTAACTCGTGGACGTTTATCCTGTTGTGTTTCAAAAGTGCACACTTCCTTCTCCCTATTATTGTAGAGTCCAGTATCGTACCATAAGGACGGTTCTAATGGAGGTGGCGTTACCACGTCGCGGTCCAAGAGATCGAATTGAGGTCGTGAGTCGCAAGGCCAACCAAGCCTTCCATCCCTCCGGGGTCGGTTAATTGGTACCAGACTTGTCTGGGAGGATAAAAAACACTGACTTGTACATCGGCTGGCCCCCGCAAGTCATTGTATAGGCCACATCGCATTCAAACGCCACTACGAATGTACAAATGGAAGTAGAATGCGTGCCGCATCCCATAAAAGGTTGATCCAACTGCAAAAGCTTTAGCCTTTATCCGTACCATAGGGTCTCCGCTCTCCACTTTCGGGTGGGCACTAGCTGCTTGCATGACTATCTGGGGATTAATTACCCAGATGTAAAATTGTCCAGCAGGACAAAACAATGACTTGTTTACAGAGAAAATCACTGAGTAAGTTGAGTACTCGTCCAAATGTGCCTGGTGCTGATTGGTTATGTGCTGAGACACTGATAAATTAAAGTGATTTATGGAAATTTTTCAACTGCTCGTGGCTACGTTCTGCCACAGTAGTCATTTAATTGACACCTATACAAAATCTGTCTAACCATGGCTTTGCTTGAGCTTATGACTACTTCTCTTCTGCAATCGTATGGAGTTTGAGTGTAACTCCCAAGAGGAAGTTTCGCGGTTTTCATGGTTACCCGTTGTGCTTTGTGTTGGTTTGCTTTGCTGCAGTAATGGAGGCACGATTGTTCCGATTTGGTGACGTACTGGCAGATCCGACACAGGACAGAGACCCTGTCTCGACGGTCGATTGGGAGTAAGTTCATGTTCTATTTTTAGCCACCCATAAGTTGACGACCTGAATCCCACAATTTAGGTATGCCCCCGTGCGACCAGCAAAGCGAAACCGTATGTGCTTGATCAACGCAGGACTCTCTCAAGGATGTGACCTCTCCGATATCATAATGGCAAAACAACAGGTGCTGTAATAATCTTTTATTGAGAATAATATGATGTCATGAGGTAGCCTAGATCCTCTACAGTAACACATTTCGTTGAAATGGAAAAGAAGGCAAAATGAAAATCACCTAACAGGCTAAAATAGGGGATCCAAAAGCCGATGTTTGCAGGGGTGTGAGTCAGGAGTTCTTGATTCCGCAACTACGCAATAAATAATACAAGTTCAGTACGTCGCCAAGGGGTTACCGTAATCTGCAGGCGTCGACTACGGCGAATTCAGCAAAAAATGCACAATAACACTCGATCATGCCGCCATCAGCGAGCTTTCGTCGCTCAAAGTGCCGGAAATCCCCGCGGTATACTACGTTGATGACAAAGATGAGCAGAAACAGGCCCTTCTTCACTGCCTCACCGTCTTCAGAATATGACGTCATCTGCCCGTCGAGCTCAACGAGGCCTACCGTAATCGCTCCACCTGAAGCTGCTACATAATTTCTTCAATCGCTTAACTGATGGATAAGATAGCTTCCCAGGGCAGTAGCTCTAGCTGTGTGAAACCTTTTCCAACCAGCGTTTCAGAAAATGTTGTCGTGGTAGTGGATTCGTCGAGAAGCTCGTTGAGCTAGTGCAACATGTTCCCGTGAATTCGTCTCAGTCGTTGGTGTAGAAGGCTATTATGAAGTTATCTGGAAAAAAGGGGTAGTGCTGCGCAATTTTTGTTTAGTAGCATTTGGTTCAATCCAACAAGGTATAGTTTATTCCGTTTTGAATGCGGAAGGAGACAACGATTGATGGGTTTTTTGACCACCCTCCCACCTGTTAATTGCTCAAAAGTTGAGACTAATTGGATTACAGGGCGGCTTGAAAAACCGTGGCTTACACAATTGAGCGTGGTACGGTGACAACAGGCAAACAAGTGGTAGGCAGAAATCAGGTTGAAAGATTTAACAAAAGGCACGCTCGTCTCTGTAATGTCTATTTTGGGTAAATCAAGGGCCAAGCGTCTTGTCGCCCCGGTTCCACCCCCGACGGAGAAATCGGGCTCAATATGACACCATCATCAGCGACCACGTTTAGTAAATGAGTGACGTTGAGCTACAACGGGGAGTTTTGCGAGTAGTCGACTGTAAGTATTGCAGTCAAGGTGGAGTAAATTTTGGGGGGGTGTCCCCAAGAGGCCCATCGCGCGGCGAAGGAAGAGACGCAGATGCGGCACGAGTCGCAGCGCGTGCTGTGCGATATGAGACGTAGTATGGTACACTCTATTTAACCTGACGCCTAACCGCTACAGTATGCGCTGCGACTCGTCCTTTGCCGCGTCTTTGCCGCTCTCTTTCCTTCGCCGCGATGGGCCTCTTGGGGGACACCCGGCGTCCAGAAGCCGCCACTCTTCAGAACTCGAAATCGTTACTGCAGTTGTACTAAAAATTCGCTTTCACCTTGTACCAAACCTATATCGCTTTTTATTATTATCCAATCTTGTATTTGTCTGCATGGACTGATCAAAAAATCTATGACTTACTATGCTTTGGAGGATTTTTCGCCTTCATGCCCACAATCTACCCTCGACGGCAGATAGGTGCGTTCTATAAAGCGTGGGTGCCCGATGAACAGTGTTACCCGATGCATAAAGGGCAATCTTTAAGATCAATTAGCGGAATTTCAGAGTAAGTAGGCCTCTTTTCCGGAAAATTCGGTTTCAAGTGACACCTTAGAATTACGGTAGCCCTTCGCCTAGAACTGAAGTTTAGGCGAAGGGCTACTTATTGGGTTGTCTCATAATTCCTGTCTCAATTTCGACACTTTTGTTTATCCAAGTTTTATCTCTTCTAGGAAACAACTGATCAATACATACACCACCATCATGGTCACTGATATTGCGTGCATTTGCTAGTGAGCGTTTGGAAGCTTCCAGCCCAGAATGAAGGAAGCTGGGGTTGAAGGAATTTGGAGAAGTCGTTTTTGGGGTGGTCGCAATCTTTAACTTTCTTCTCTGGCAGATGCTTATTCAGGGCGCAGGGAAGGCGATAGTTCGACAGAGCCATGCCATGCTATTATGGTGGGAATAAGTATCGTGACCGCTGTAGCTCGCTCAGTAACGGGTGAGTTGGCATTGCGAGATGTGAGGTCTGGCGTACATTCGGAGAAAGGAGAATCTGAGACGTTTCTGACGATTCCCTCGCAACCCCGAAGCCAGCCTAGAGGGCTATTCCGCGCTGACTTTAGCAATGCTTGTCTTCATACATTGAAGTGGTTCCCAAACCAGGCCACCTAGCGAATCCAACAAAACGAGAGCGATATTCTCAGAAAACGGAGTTCGGGCTTTGGTTGAGCTGGTGCTTCCTGGCTGCGAGGCAGCCATCAAGACGTGCCGCATGTTGTTGTCGCAGTGGACTCATGACTCATTTCCACTGGTGACCGATTAGGGAAGGCTCTGCTTTTGCCGTCCCAGAATGGATTTTCCCCAGATGGTCAGGCGTGCTTCCCGCTCATGGTCGGCCGGACCATAAGGTTTCCATCGAAAACTTCATTCTGCAGCAGTCCTTGCCATACTGATGGCGTGTGCTGGTGCATCGGCTGCGCTCAGGTATCTGCTACAATACCCTGGTAGCAACGTACGGAGGCACTCCCAGTTTAGGGTGCAAGGGGGCTCATCAAAAATGACCGCAGGCCCAGTATGAGGTTGAAGTTCATAGCTCGTTTCGTCTTTGCCGTTGCGATTGGACCACTAGCTCAGTACCCTATCAGTAGCAGAGACTGGGTCAAACACAGCGCTGATCTTCTCTGTTGTCCTCCTTGCTACAGAGTTCATTTGAGGATCGTAAAGCATAATCATTCATTATAGTCACTGACCTATTTTTATTCCTAGTTGATTAACCCATTACGGGCTTGCGTTTCCGAAACCATGCTGTTAAGGCTCTTGAAGCATACTTCAACATACTAACGTATTTCGCAATGAAACGGTCTTAGACGGAAGAAATTTGAAATTGAATAGAAATGCGACAGGAATTATGAGACAACCCAATATAGGCGATGAAGTTTCGTGGCCGTAGCAGGGAAGCATGATGACTGCCTCCAGTTATTTTGATGGGTCGCAAAAATTTATTTAGACAGGAAACGGTGTATTAAAGAAGTCTACTGTATGCATACTCGACCAGTTGCCTTGCCGTCAAGGGGGACTATTGGATGCAGATTGCATGTTCCGCGCGACCGACGCGTGGGGGCCAGTTGTCAGACTTTTGTGCTTCAACGAGGTAGAATGTGAGAAAGTGGCGAGAAAACCCCGCTTATTAAACCTTGCTCTCGCACTTCTACCGCGGTCTTATGCTCTACTAGTTTCGGAAAGTAAGCGAGAATCAAGATGCCGAACACGAAGGAGTCTCGCCATTCCTGCATTTTTCATCGCTTGAGGACGCTGGGGGCTTTAGGCCACTTCTTCGCGATTATAGATTTGAAACAATCAGATAGGCTTGAATGGTTACTACTTGTTTTTTAAGAAACTAAGGAACAGGCCAACTTGAGAGGAATCGTAGATGAAATTGATCATTTCACGCGTGCGCTCAATTATGCTATGAATTTTTACAGACGTGCTGATGTGTCCGTTTGGAGGGAGGTAAACCTATTTGCAATACGGCTTCTTGATATAGAGTTAGGAACGATAATGAGGAACTCGTTTTGGTTTAATTCATTCAAGAGAGTCCACGCGGCTCACAGAGAGCCACGTCCCATTAGGAATCAATTATTTGTCATCAGGAATTAATATAAACAAATATCCGGGCTTTATAACGAATTGTGTTCCTGATGGGACTTTTTTCTTCAAAAACCAAATGACAATCTATGATTTCAGGCCAGCAAGTTCATGAGCTTCGCGGGCCCTGGACGCAGATGATCTCGTCACCTAATAAACAAAAATCCCCTTCCGCTCGTTCCAGCACTGGTAGACTACATTAACACACCTATTCGCAACATTCGAATGATACGCAGCTGTACGATTGTGATAAATAATGTGTTAATAAAAGTTTGTTAAGGGTCAACTATGACTAGTCCTTGACAGAATTATGGTACTTTCACAACTAAACGCAGCTATAATTCAAATGCGATTTATTGAACGAACTTGATGTAGGGGCGACTTGGGTGTTTGTCACGTGCACCGTCTAACATGAGAGGTTTTCCAGAGTGTGTGGGGGACTTTTTCAAGGCATTTTTCGACACCTTATAGGATTTTATGCGTTGGACAGCAAAACTGAATTCATTTTCTCTGAGAGGTCTTGTGAAGAACAAAAAATGGTGGTGAAATGGCCCAAGGTTCAGTTACCGGGGTGACAAAATTTTGCATTATCAGTTGGGACTTCCAATTTCCTCCAAAGAGCAGCGCCAATACCATTTGTCAATTCATTACCAGGACGGGGTAGTCTACGACACAAGTTTCACACAACACTCAACCTCAGTTTAGTAATATACGTGAGACCCCTACAGCATGCAACAAACCGCTCTGAAAAAGCGCTCCACACCCTCGAAAACTCCCTTGTGCATAGAAGTTAAAGGCAAAAGTCGGGCTCAATAAGGGGGTATTATGGCGATTGAAACTGAGTATAGAGATGCGAAGTGGAACGACAGTGGAGAAAAACTGAGAAAAACCGTCGACAAGGCCGTTAACAAAACCCTCTTTCCCACTAGCAGTGAAGGAGGCTGGCTTGGGGAAGAGGCACGTACAAACAAGTTTTCTGGAGATGTCAGTCGTTCTATCGGTTGATACGGCAATCAACCTAGCTGATTTCACACGTTATGCCAGCCACGCACCACTTCCGGAGGTGGGCGGTCCCGGATTGACGAGGCGGTCCCGGATTGAAACCGACGGCCCCGGGGGCCTAACGACGTTTTTCAAGGTGGGACGTTGCTGCAATGTGTGCAGCTACTCACGTACAACCTCCGGGCACGGGAATTACTCCTCTAGCGCGGCTGAGCCCGACTTTTGCCTTTAAGTGGACAAATCGGATTATCCTCGAGTCAGGCAACTTCATGATTAAAAAATGCAATCTGTAGTTAGGAAAGCAACGTTATTTGGAACATCATGAACATAAACTATAATGCTTACTACTGTGCATCAATGTTCACGCTCTTAACGGCGAATTATCACTACTCTCATTATAAAAGCGGCTTGTCGGTCTGTCGTCTGTTCTGTCGTCTGTCGTTCTGTATGTCTGTCACGAAATTCCCTAGCTCCTCGGGATCCGCCTGGAGGGACCGGGTCAAGTGTGGAATGGGTGGGCAAGGTCTCACGAAATACAAAACACACATCAGCTAAGCGGAGCCCCGCCCACAGAGGGCGTGGCGTGCGTCGAAATGAACTGTACCGAAGATTTCAATTTCAGTGACAAAACAGACCTCGAAACTGGGCCAAAAAGTGGGTGAAGGTGTGCATTGCGATAATGTCATATCGTATTTGGGTTAGATCCACCATCCTCCAAAAAAGCAGTGCTTTATGAAAAATTTCATAACTCGGTTGGGAGAAAGCCTACAGAGCAGAAAACAATTGGTGTAAGGGAGCAATGTCTAAGGTGTTTCCAGCATACATGACGTGGGCGGAGGCCTGCCCAGAATGGGCGGGGCGCGCTCTGAAGTGCACAGCGTTTTCTACAAGTCCTCATAATTCGGGTTCCAAGAAGTCCCAAAGGCTGAGGAAAAAGGTGGATAGAGGTGGATGGAGGAGTGGAGGCCAACTGCTTGGTGATTAGGGCATTTCCAAGGTGGGCGAGAGTTACCCACGAAACTATGTGACTCGGCTGCAAGGGGTCCTGTAAACTGGAGAGAAGTGGGCAAAGGAAAGAAAGTGAATTTCTAATGGTGTGCGGAGGATACACCAAAAAAGCAGGATTCGCCGCCAAAATTATAAATCGGCTCAGAGATAGTTCAGAGATCGGGTAAAAAGTGGGAAGAGGTTGGCGAGGAAGAAAAAGATAGGTGGGACATGCAAAGAAATAGGCGGAGTTTACCACGAGGTTCATAAATCGGTCCGGAGGCAGTCCGAGGCCGGGAAAAACGGACAATGGTGGAGAAAGGAGGGCAGGTCAAAAGCCATCGGTGGATGAAGCATGGGGCAATCGGATAGAATTCAGCTTGAAAGTCAAATATTCGAAGGGCCAAAATTCGAAAATTCACGCCACCATCACCGCATCATCGCCGCAGAGGTTGAACTTTATTTTGTAACTGCTGGTTTTATGCCGCACGTCGCGATTGCCGAAAAGTTTTACAATGTATGGGTTGCGAACAAAAGTTTTGTTTGTGTTAACATAATTTTTGATCGTTAGTTTCTGTTTTTGCAAGATGCTCACTATGCGAAAATTATCACAGCGGTACTGAATCATAAAAAACACTAAGGCAGGGAATCTGTTACGTCGGTTGTCGTACAGAGAAACGTTCATTCAACACATAAACTGAACCATACTCAAGTCACATGTTTATATAGGGGATATGTTTTCGTGTGTTCTCGGGAACATATGACACTGCAAGATCATTTATTGTTCATCCACGACATCTCCTTTTTTTTACAAATAAAGAAGAGATCCGTGGTATCAGGTAGAGTATGCCGTGTGACGTGAATCCAGTTGAAGTCGTGGATGCCTGCCTATGAACAACAAATGATCTTGTTGGTTGGTTTAGATTGGCCAGTGCTGTTGACTGATCCTCGTCTCGTCCATGGGTGTGAGGAAGGAAGCTCCAATATGCGGTAGATTACTAGCTTTGAAATCCACTCTGCACCTAATAGGTTGGGGAGTACGACCAACATAGAATATTCCTTGTGCCGATTTTGAATTGAAACTGTAGGTGCACCTACACTGAACAAGGAAATGGATACGATTGCCTGATGCGCTGTGCTCGACAAGTGACGAAGGGAGTGCATTTGAGTTGCCCATGAAAATATATGTCGATTCGTTGTCTGGTATCAGCGGCGGTATCTACCTTGGAATTGATGAGGTTTGCTTGTTTACCAGAATTGTTGCAAATCGGCGGTAGCTGTTATCCTTGCTTGATACGGTGAAAACAGCATCTGATCGCGTGGTCGAGTTCATGGGACGATGGTTGTTGTGTGTCGGGCGGTGTGGTCGTTTTCTTGAATTGCAGAATCCTTGTGTCCTGTCCTGAGACAATCTGAGCACTTGTGGTGTCTATAAGAGCAGTGTTGGACGAAGCATTGCTCCGCAATACCAGCACGGGCTTGGAGGCACAGGGAGCCTATGTTGCTACAAGTATGTAGCAACGGGGGGTCGTACTTGAATGGACTTGGAGGGGGTCGTACTCTCTCGGTGGCCGGCAGTGGGATTCTTGGTAAAACATGGATAATAGCCAGCACGTTACGTTTTCGTAAGATGACTGATACTAGAGCATCTATAAACCACGCTTCCCTCTAAATGAGCTTTCAAATGAATCAGCGAATTAGAAGGGCGCCCGAGGCGTGGCGCGCACCAAGGCAAGGGATGTAGTGCAAGCGCATGCTCGAAGCTTTCTAGCACATCCTAAATTAACATGAAATTGGTCTTCCAAGAAGTTACGGGCAGTGAAACCTAAGAAAACCCGCGTTTTCGAAAATGGCTTGAAGAATACCCCTCAAAAAAGTAACAACGGGACTAATTTTTGAACTGCTGACTTTCAGGAACGTTGGTGCTCGTTAGAAAGCTTGAATCCTGTAGTTTGTCATACCGTGTTCAGCTTCCCAAATGAATGACTTTGAAGGAAGTTATGATCGTTTGAAGGTAAAAAAGTCGCGGTTCCAAAAAATAGTAACGCAAACCCCCAAAAAAGTAACAACGGGACTAATTTTTGAACTGCTGATCTTTCAGGAACGCTTGGGTGCTCGTTAGAAAGCTTGAATCCTGTAGTTTATTATACCGTGTTCAGCTTCCCAAATGAATGACTTGAAGGAAGTTATGATCGTTTAAAGGTCAAAAAGTCGCATTTGCACAGAAAAAAGTAACAACGTACTAAATTTTTATTAAATTAACTTTCGAAGAATTTTTACCCATGGTTGGAGAGAGAATAATTTGAATTTTCCAAATCAAATCACTTCGGCGCAAAAGCTCGAATATGAAGGAAGTTATAGCCCTAGAAAGAGGAGTGTAAAAATTGTGTTGCAATTTTATTTTTTGCCTAATAACTTATTCATTCCGAAGTGTTTGAGAACAAAGAGTTTACTTATGAAGGATGAGCGTCGCTGATCCAGAAATCACCACATTCCTCCGAGTTACCTGAAGTTTAACGACGAAAAGTTCGTCCGGATTTCAGAATCCCTGTTCGCCGTCTGTTCATGGTCAGCAAAGGCGCTCCATCTTCAGGACGGCAATTCAGCACCCTCAAATTGTGATGCTCGCGTTTTGTTTGTTTTGTCTAACACTGACACCAACCGTTCGTCTTCTTTTTGCTCTTTCATCCTGATTCTTTTCTGTGAGTGCATTACTCGCTCTCCTTCATCCTCGCCCTCCATTCCTCTCCTCTACTATAGAGAATGGCCCTTCGGTCGTCAGCACTGTTTGTCGCAAAAGTGCTGACGAACGAAGAGCCGTTTTCTCCAGTGGAGGAGATAAAGGCAGATGGAAGGACTAAAGTTAATGCACTTTTTTGGCCTATATTCTTTCCAATCATTCTTTGTACATTGTTTCCTCTCATGACTTATTTTTCAGCTCACTTTTTCACGTATCTCCGAGCATCCTGCTATATATAATCCTACTATATATAAGCGGCTAGCGTGTGTCTGTTGGTGTGTGTGTGTGTGTTTGACCGGAAATTCATAGCTCGAGTCACAGTAACGATAGCGCAGTGGTTCTTACATATGTTATAGGGGGTGGGATGGGGACACAAGTGGTACGTGATAGGAACTGATAACGACTGATAATA